TCATGGAGCCCTCAGAGCGCTGCCAGCAACCTGATGAAGCATTTCTGTACCAAAAGGGTGCTCAGACACTGGAACAGGAATCCTAGAGAGATGGCTGATGCTCTGAAGAGGTCAATGTTAAAGAAGAATTTGGAAACTGGCTTTAATAACTTTTGGTCAGTCCTGACAGAAGGACCATCTTTACCTTGTCCCGAGATGTCACAGCTGCCCAAACCACTCAAACCATTTTATTTGTGTGGTTTTCTTTACCCCACAAGGTCCCTTTGATAAAAAAGAAGGATGTGGAACAATTTCTCAGCCAAAAGAAGCTCCCACTCTGCCCATCTCCTGTTTTGGCAACGAGCTCCTGTTTAACAGGAAAGTCTTCCTTGGGGGTGACGAGTTGAGCACATTGAATTAGGAAGGAAGTCACAGGGTGTTGTGAGTGACTCTGTGTGCTTTGTAGGTCACTGCAACTGAGACAATCCGAACTATTCCATCCCATCCAAGCCAGGCACACAGGCTGGAGCTGCAGGGAAATGAAACTGAGCAGCAGGAACTGCTGCACTGGAAAGAGGGAGCTGAGCAACCCCAGGGGAATTAATTCCTTGTTCATTCTCTGTCTGAAATCCCCCTCTGGAAGTGACCCAGTAGTTTCATTTCAATTCTATGCAGATGCCAAGGCTGCTGGTGCCTTTCCAGAGGGTCCACACTGTGTGGACATGCAGGGCAGGGGGTTGAGCTCCCCAAAATGCTCTTGCTATTCCATTCACACACCTTACTGAACACGCAGATGAGTTTAATTTATATTTAATCAGCCTCTGCAAACAGCAATCACTTGAGAGGTTTCTCTGTATAACATGCAGTGATTACCCTTATTACAGAGGGACTGCTTGTACCTCCAGCACTGGGGTCTCTCAGCCCCTCCATGTGGAACCCTTCACTTCAGGAGGTTTCAGTGCTTCTCTGGGAAACATCTGCAGCTGGAATGTGTTGGATCTGGAAATGCCTCAGTAGCCTCGTGTTCTCCTCAGGGCTGGGATGGCTCTGAGAGCTCTGCTTTGCCCCTGTGGTTGTACCAGGAGTTGATGTGCTGGTTGAGCCTTGCCCACCTCACCCCTGGCTCCAGCTCAGCTGGAGGAGACTGAGGGGAGACCTCCCTGCAGTTCCAACTGCCTGGGCAGGGGCAGAGGAGGGGCAGGACTGAGCTCTGCTCTGGGGGGACCAGGGACAGCCCCCAGGGAATGGCTGGAGCTGTGTCAGGGCAGGCTCAGGGTGGATCTCAGCAAAAGGTTCTTCCCCCAGAGGGTGGTTGGCACTGAACAGGCTCCCCAGGGCAGTGGGCACAGCCCCAAGGCTGCCAGAGCTGCAGGAGGGTTTGGATGATCCTCTGGGGCACAGGGGGGGACTCTTGGGGCTGGGCCTGTGCAGGGCTGAGGGTTGGACTCCAGGATCCTTGGGGGTCCCTCCCAGCTCAGGGATTCTGGGATTTGGTGCCCCTGCCCCAGACCCACCCTGTATTTGGGGTATTTGCAGCTCTCGTGTTTTTACCCCACGATTTGGGCCCCGTGATTTGTGTGTGAAATTCAGGACTGCACAAATCAGCTTCTTCTCTGCAAGGTGGGAAAACAGGACAAGGGGCAATGGCTTCCCACTGCCAGAAGGTAGGAATAGATGGGATATTGGGAGGGAATTCCTGGCTGTGAGGGTGGGCAGGCCCTGGCACAGGTTGCCCAGAGAAGCTGTGGTTTCCACACCCTGGAAGTGTCCAAAGCCAGGCTGGAGCCACCTGGGCTGGTGGAAGGTGTCCCTGCCCATGGCAGGGGGTGGGATGAGATGGTTTCTAAGGTCCTTTCCCACCCAAACAATTCTGTGATTCCATGAACTTTGGTGTGTAGAAACGTGGGGCCCGTTCATGGGGCTTTGTCCAACATCTCCAGTGGAGTGAGACCTGTCTGGCAAGTCCAATTTGATGGCTTTAGAAGGTCAGAGACTGAAAACTGATGGGCTGAAAGCAGAGACCTGAACATTTTTGTGTTACTAACTCATGAAATAGAGGTCCTTTTCCCAAATCTGCGTATCCCTGGTAGTTCCTTAGTTGTATCTCCTCCTTTCTTCCCCCTTTTCCCTCCCAGATTTCCCCCAGCTGGCATGAAAACATCCCAGCTCCTACACAGACAGCCCCATTTCTGAGGAAAGACAAAGAATGGAAATTTCTGTCTCGAAAAAGCTTCGAAAAACGACAAGTGAGGAACTGGATGTGCTGCATTCAACGGGCTCAGCAACAGCAGCAGCATCAATATCTGCTGTAATTACTTTCTTTAGAACCTTACAATTGTCCTGATAATTTTGGTGGGAAGGAGAACAAATGGGAAAAGATCTGGAAGATACTCTCGGTGAATTTTTTAATTAAAATGTTTTTGATTTTTGAGAAACTCTTCAAGAAGCAATTAAAAGAAGATGATATTGGTCTGTACTTACATGGGAGAGCCTTGCAAGGATTAACTGGTTTGAAGCAAATAAATGACTGCCTCTGGATTTGCATGAGCAGATGCTTTCTGTAGATGTTTTTCAGGAAGGGGTGGGGATTGAGTGGGGCAGCAAAACCAGCCTGCAGGGTCAGAAAATCAGGGAATGGCCTGGATTGGGGGGAAACTTAAAGATCACCCTGCCACGGGCAGGGACACCTTCCACCAGCCCAGGTTGCTCCAAGCCCCATCCAACCTGGCCTTGGACACTTCCAGGGATGGGGCAGCCACAGTTTCTCTGGGAATTCCAGCCCAGCCCCTCCCCACCCTTCCAGTCAGCAATTTCTTCCCAATATCCCATCTATCCCTGCCCTCTGGCAGTGGGAAGCCATTCCCTGTGTCCTGTCCCTCCATCCCTTTTCCCCAGTCCCTCTCCAGCTCTCCTGGAGCCCCTTTAGGCCCTGCAAGGGTCTCTCAGGTCTCCCTGGATCCTTCTCTTCTCCAGCTGAACAATCCCAGCTGTCCCAGCCTTCCCTCCCAGCAGAGCTGCTCCATCCTCTGATCCTCTTGGTGCCTCCTCTGGGCTCTCTCCAGCAGCTCCATGTCCATCCTGTGCTGTTCCCCAGGGCTGGGGCAGCTCTGCAGGGGGGTCTCACCTCTGCCCACCCTGGGGATCAGCCCAGGGCACTGGAGGGTTCTGAACCTGCCTGGAGGAAAGTGTGGTGAATGCTGGAATTCTGAGCTGGGGAGCCCAGTGATGGCAGCAGGGTTGAGATTCAGGCCCTGCCTGCATTTCATTCAGGGCAAGGAAAAGCCTCATTCCTTCAGTATTTGGATTTCAGTTATTCAATTCCAGGCCTTGGCCAGACTCCCTTTAAACAAAGCAAGGAGCCAGGGTGTGAAATCCCGGGCTGTGTGATGACCTAATCCAAATCCCACAAAGTCTGGGAATGTTTCCATGGCTCCCTGGGAGCTGGATTAGTCCTGCACTGCTCTTCCTGCCCGTTGCCAGTGCCTGCTCCTGCAGCAGCACCCAAATACTCTTGGGGCTCAGCTGCAGGGCTCTTGGGGTGTCCTTCAGCTGCATTTCTCCATGGAATGGACAGGATTGAAATAACAAAAAACCCCAAACCTGTCATTTTCACTGAGCACACTGGACACAGTGTTTTCAAAGCAGAATTGTGGGGTGTTGGTTTCTCCTTCCAGCCAAGAATTTCTTCAATAACTCACTCCTCCTATGGTAAATAGATGGGAATTCCTAGAATACATTTCCTGTCATGAATCCAGGGTCATTCCTAAGCCATTCATTGAAACACTCTCCAGTTCCACAAGAGGTCAGCTGGAGTGTACAGCACCTTTTTTTATACCATTAGCTCCCCAGTTTTGTGAACACAAGTTCCCTGCATCACCTGCTTTCCAGAGGGAATCCCTGCATGGACCACTGCTCATCCCCCAAGCTCTGATGGTTCCAGGGCTGGGGAACAGTCTCTGAGCCACCAGGCTGGTGTCCAAGTGGCTGCAATAAATGAATAAAGTGAGCCCAGGAAATGGAGGGGGAGATGTGTCATCATTTGTGGGGAAAACACCTGCTTTTCTCAGAGTTTCACTGAAGGACCCAGAAATGCTATTTTTGCAAAAATGGGCAGGGAAAAGGTCCCAGTTCCTTTCCAAGCACAGGGTAGAGGTGCTTCTCTGCCCAGGGGTGTGGTGGGAACTTTGGAGGTTGCACTGCATGTCCCAGCAGTCATAAAATCAGAGACCCCTAGGATGGTTTGGGTGGGGACAGGGACACCTTCCACTCCACCACGCTGCTCCAGCCTTGTCCTGCCCCTGTGACTTGGGTCCACCTGGGTGAAGTTGACTTTTCTCCATCAGATTTCTCTTTTAAAATTAGTTTAGGCAGCACTACAAGGAGTTTTGGTGTCAGTCATTAACCTCGTCCCCACCTTCTCCAGCCAGGCAGGACATGGTGGAGTGGAAGCAGTGGAGGAAGGTCTGCAGTGAAATGAGCATTTGCTGAGGGAGCAGCTGCTCTTCAGGACTGGTGAGAGCCTCCCAGAGCAGCTCTCAGGCCTTGGCAGGGAAGAGACAGAATTAAAACCTGTGCTGGACCCACAGAAACAGTCTCTGACTCTCTGGTAGGGACTGAAAAAGAGGCATTTTGACTTTTTTAAGCAAGTGCCATAAACCAGCACATGGCACGGGCTGACCTCTCCCTTTGAGACCTTCCCGTGGTGCCCACCAGCCCCTCCAGTGGTGGCTCTGACTTCCAGAGGAGGAGTTCAATCCCTGCCTTTGGAGTGGCAGTGATTCCCGTGCTCTGTGTCACTGATCCAGCCAAGGCATCTCCTCAGCTCCTCTCCAGGAGCTCCTTCCGTGGTAAATGTGTAAATCTACCTTCAAATCAAAACACTCCCCCCAAATGCTCACCTTCAGAAGGAATAAAGGCTCTCTGCCCTAATATTTTATGCCAATCTCGCTGTAACTCGGGTGTGAATAAATATTGATGGCTGCTTCGGAAGGAGGAGGGAAAGAAAAACTCCATCCCCCATCAAAAGAAAAAAAAAACCAAACCCAACCTTTATTTCTATTGCATAAATAATGGTAAAATTAAAATATTTTTATACAGGTTATATATTTACAGTAGAGTTTGGTTGGAGGAAACAGCTGATACATATGGCACTCGGTTTTCCTTTATACACTTCTTTATACACTTGGATAACTTGCAATAACATAGGATTTAGTTCAGTTGCATGCCAAGTTAATTTATATTAATATTTACAGCTTTTTGTACAAAGATTTCTTGTAGTTTTTTTTTTTTATTATTATTTATTTACTTTATTTTTTTACTACGATGCTGCTGACTTTGTGAATTGTTGCCTTTAATTAAAATGCCATGTCTTCCAGTCGACAAATGAACAGTAAATGGCTCGGAAACATGAAATGCTGACAGAAAGGAGACACGTGGATTAGTGGAGAACTTCCTAGAGATGAATCAGGAGGCATTGATTACTTAGATCCTTGTATGGATTAAATGGCAACAGGCTGGATTTTGGGCTCATTCCAGTTTAAGCCAATTAACTCTAACGAGTTATTTGTGATTTACCCTGGAGTCCACGAGGAACTTCATCTCTCTTCATCCCCACCCCATTAAATCTGAGACAGCAAGAGCTGAAATAACTTGGGCTCCTCTCAGAGAGCTGGTTGGAAATGGAACAGCATTCCTGGGCTGGTGCAGGGCAAATACAGGGGCAGGGGGTTGAAAATTGGTATTAAATGGGCACCCCAGGGGCCTGATTCTGCAAACACATGGAATTTGGGGCTGGGAATTGCCCACAGGACACACAAGACGTGCCTGAGGGCTGCCAAGGGGTGGCTCCTGGAGCTCAGATGTCCATGTGTTGGCTGGTGAAGACACAAGACCAGCTGATAAAGGAAAAGTGGGGCCTGGAGCTCACCTAAAGTGTTGTTCAAACAGCTGATTATTTGTGGTGTTGGCAAAGAAACCTGTGGGAGATAATGGCATATATACATACATATTTATATATATGGAAAATGGCAATGTCACTCAGCAACACTCTTCAAGGCTACAAAGGGTTTTGGTCTGTCCTGACAGAAAATAAAAAAAACCCTGGGGTATTTTCATCATCAAATAGCCCAGTAGGGATGTTCAGACCCAGAGGATTTCCTTTTCCTCCCTTCTCCCTCCCCTCCTTGCTTCTGGGGCTGAAATTATTTCAGTGAAGATGCCAAACTGAGGCAGTTTTTTCAGACTTTTGCCACTGGAGAGGTGTGAGTGAAGCAAACTTGCAATTAAAACGCTCCCAATTAGATTTGCTGTCCATCTTGCTCTTGGTGAAGCTTCTCCACCTCCTGGAGCTGCCTGAAATGTCCTCCTGCAACTGGAGAACAACATCCAGCCCTGATAACAACTGACAGCATAAAGAGGTGAAAACGCTCTGAACTTCTTCTCTCCCTGCATCAAATTCCTGGGGAAGTAAAAGGCTTTAAGTGATGCCAGGGAGATGTAATTGCTCTGTCAGAGCACAGTACAGTAAGAGAATAGATTGAAACCCAGCAAGTTCTGTACATCTTCATCTGCAGAACACGAGCGTGAATCAGAGCCAAGGAAAAATAAAAAAAAAAAAAAAAGAGGCTTCATCAGATTCCCATTTTAGAAGAGTTGGGTTTTATCCTTTCAAATAGTCGTCCATGAAGCAGAAACTAAATAATTTATTACATGGGTGGATAAAATAAGGAACTTCATTCTTAGGGAGTTTAATGTATTCCTCCTACTGCTCCTTCTCCTGGCAGAGCTGAGTCCGCCTGGGGCCTGAGCTCCTCTCGGGGTGTGAGGTGACAGCTCTGCCTGCTCTGGGCACGTGCACACCAGGACAGGGGGTGGGTTTTCCATGGGAAAAGCTGAGAGTCCCAGGAGATGGTTTGGTCTTTGCAACGGGCCAAGTGTTTCTCGTGATCAGATATTCCTGTGCTTTCCATGGAAAAAAAAAAAAGCAGCTTTGCCAGGAGGTGCTTTGCTGGTCCAAACACACCTCAGCCACTCAAAGCTTTTTACTTTTGCTTGATTTCCTTGCTTGCTGCCCTGTTTGGAGATTTAAAACCCTATTTGCTTGGCCCCTGCTTAAAAAGCTGGGTGTCTATGTACAAATCCTTTTTACAAAGTTTCTGGAAGTCTCCCACAGAGAGCAACCAACACCCAGCCCTCCCTGTGCCCCAGGTCCAACAGGGGAGCTCCCAAAAACCTCTGGATGAAAAATCTCTCCAGATCACAGGATGACACCCAGATATTCAGCTCTTCTGCTCCCACACTCCTGTCCTGGGAGCCTGTGAACCTTGAAGGTCTGTGAACCTTAAAGGTCTGTGACCACCTTCCCCAGGTCAGGGTGTCTGCTGCCAGTAAATGGCAGGTTTGTGGGTCCCCATCAAACACTTTCCCAGCTCTCCTTCACCCTACACGACCTCCCCCAGCAGGAGGACCAGGTTCTCCCTAAGAAAGCCAAGTCTTCCCAGTTACCCACCCTGCTTGATTCTTTAAATTCCTGTTGATGTTGCTCCTGATTAGAAATGACTTCCCAGTGTTTGGACTCGTGGAGAGGATCAGGCTCCCACGAGGTCCTTGGGTGGCACAGCAGGGGCCTGGCCCCCAGGGCCACCCCCACCACCATCACAGAAACAGAAAAACAGAACCTTCTGAGTTGGAAGGGACCCTCAAGGACCATCAAATCCAACTCCTGGCCCTGCACAGGACAACCCCAATGTCCTGCCTGGAATCTCCTCATGGTTTGCTTGATGGCTGCCCTTAAATTATGGCTTTTGACCTGATGGGTGAGCAATGTTCCTGTTGCTGGAATGCTCTTCTCCCTGGCCTCCAAATTATTTCAGTCAAGGGCCTGCTGTCATTTGATTTCATGTCATGTGGCTGCTGTTCCCTGCTCTGGCTTCTCCAGGAGCAGAGGATGAGGATGTGCCCTCAAAGTCAAAGCCAAAGTCAATGGTTATCAGCAGTGCAGCCCAGTGATGTCCCAGCAGGGACAACTCAAACCCTTCCATCAGGGATCAATCCCTGCATGGAGACCCTGCCCAAAGTGTCCTCTCCAAGCCCAGGACAGCCTGTGTGCAGAGCTCAGGCTGCACTGATTTCCATCACTGCTGAGCAAAACAAAGGCCTCTCTCAAGCTAAAACAACCTCATCCTTCTCCAAGCCTTCCCAAGCCAAGCCAAGAGAGTTTAGAGAATCACAGTCATGGAATATCCTGAACTGGGAGGGACCCCCAAGGATCCTGGAGTCCAACCCTCAGCCCTGCACAGGCCCAGCCCCAAGAGTCCCCCCCTGTGCCCCAGAGGATCATCCAAACCCTCCTGCAGCTCTGGCAGCCTTGGGGCTGTGCCCACTGCCCTGGGGAGCCTGTTCAGTGCCAACCACCCTCTGGGGGAAGAACCTTTTGCTGAGATCCACCCTGAGCCTGCCCTGACACAGCTCCAGCCATTCCCTGGGGGCTGTCCCTGCTCCCCCCAGAGCAGAGCTCAGTCCTGCCCCTCGGGAGAAGCTGCAGAGTTGTCCCGATTTCCTGATGATTCCCCACTCTGGGAGCAGAACCCCGTGCTGGGTTTCTGGGAGCTGTTTGTCCATCCCTGTGAGCTGGAGCAGGGCAGGGACAGCTCCGTGGCTCCGACACGGCGCTCACATGTCACGAACAGCCGGGGTTGCCATGGCAATCTCCTTTTCCTCCAGAATTGCAGTGCTGAAAAGACACTTAAATTCTCCTGTAACTGGTAAGAGCAGAAGTTTAGTGCTTTTTCTGACAGCTCTACCTCGCTGCAGTCTGGGTATTTTTTAAACTATGTTAATTAGCACTTAAATAGTTTTTTTTTTTTCCTTCAAGTACGGGATGTGGGGTTTTTTATTTTTATGTCTTTGATTCTTCTCTACTTTCTTCCCCCTAAGCTTTTGCCATCAGGTTCCAATCAAAATTTTACCGCTCTATTTTTACCTACTGTCTGTAAAAGCAGCAAAAAGCCCTTTTTTTCCCCCCTTCTTGTGTAGAAGAAGAAGAAGGAAAAAAAAAAAAGATAAATGGATGTTACATAAATGGAGCCAGGGAGGCTGGGAGGAGACACAGGTCCAGTGCTGCTGGTTGGGAAGGATGGGAAGGTTTTGGGGAGAGGAAAGGATGAAATAGCTCTGCCTGATCCATCCTGCATTGCCAGTGGAGCCTGGCTGATTAAAGAAGGGAGCTCTTCAAGATGCCTGCAGATGAAAGGTGGATATAGGAAGGAAAAGAAGGACCTCTGGCAAGACATGACACTGATTCATAACAGATAAATTAGTTTCCCTACAGGAAAATCACCCCCAGAACCCTCCCAAAAATCCTGTACCCAGTGAAATCAGTGGGGAGTTGTGCAATGAACTCTACTGACACCAGGCTATGGCTTTTACCAAGGTATTAGTTCTAGGTTTGGCTTTACAAATGGAGCTTGAGGGTGAAGAATGGCTGTATTTACAGTGGTTCTCATGGAGCATGCACGAGGAAACCATGGAGCCTTCCAGGGAGCTTAGAGGGATGCAGACATTCACCTCGTCCTGAGGGAGCTGCAGGGGTTGGAGTCTGCTGGATGTTCACTGGGAGAAGGGTGTGGAGATGCCTGCTCTGTGGTTTAGGGTGTGTTTGTGGGCTCAGCAAAGGGGGCCCTGTGTTTCTGCCACTGCTGGGGGGGGGTGGGTCAGTGCCCACCTCTCCAGCCGCCCCCTCCTCTCCGTGTTCCCTCCAGCACAGCCCCGGGAGAAAAAAATAAGGATTACTCAGTGACAAGTGAAGTTTAGAGGTTTTTTTCACTGCTACCACCTCTCCACAGACCCCTGAGACCTCAAAATGTGATGACAGTTTCCTTCAGATGATCTCAATGCTCATTATCTGCACTGACCAGCTCAGCCCGTGTCCCTTGGCCCCCCCAAAGCTGCAGATCCCACGCCAGAGCTGCCCTAAGATACCCTGCTGCTGGTTTGAAGTCTGCTGCTGCCCTCCAGCAAACACAAACCTCTCCATCTTCTGGGAGACAGAACCAGTTTTTTTAGGGAACATTTTGCAGTTCACCTCGTTTGTCACAGCAGAACAGAAATGCAGAAGTTGGGTGTTTGGGAAAGGCAGAAAAAAGGAACTCAGCTGCTCTGGAGAAGGGGGTTGTTGTCCTTGTGATGGAGGGGGACACCAGGAAAAGGACAGTGATGAGGTGGGTGACTTGAGTTCAAAGGGCTGATGGGACACAGACCAACAAGAAACAGATTTTTAAATTAGGCTACTAAAAATACAGGTTAAATGTTATCAATCAAACTTGTCATCAAAGAATGACCTGCAATGAGTCTTTGGGATGGATCCAGGTTTAAGTCAATGGCTGCTGTGTAGGATGGAGGAAGCTGGTGGTTTGTAATCCCTTGGGGAGCCATCCTGCCCCTCCTGGGGCACAGGAAACAGTCCCCTACATTTACAGGAGCACAATCTCACTGTTCCTTGGAGCTCTGGAGCTTTCCCAGCCGGCACAACAACTCAGCTCCAACTGCATGGACCTCCCTGGGCACCAGCTGGGGAACCTCTTCCACCAGGGCAAGGAATCAGATGTATCCTGGTGTGACAGCCAGTTCATCCAAAGGCAAATGCAAGGATTTGTGTCAAGCTGAGAAAGGAAAAATCCTCCCTGCTGCAATCCTGGCTCCAGGCTCGCCCAGCGCTCGCGTCTCCAGTCTGCATCACCCCATCTTCTCCTTGCTGCTCATTAAAATCCCCTCCAGGGGAGATAACAAGCACTCACAGGATCTGAAAGTCTGACAGGCCTCACAACACATGGTGGTGGGCTCTAGTTTGGATCCTTCTTCTCCTTTTTCCCCTTGCCCTCCTTGGAGCCTGCCCAAGGGACAGAGGTGGCGATGGTGGGAAGGCTCCTGGGAGGCACCAGAGCAGCTGGATGGTCCAAACCACGCTCTGCAGTGTGAGGGGAAATGGAACCTCTCCCCCACGATGCCTGACACGGAGGTGTCACTGCAGATTCCAACCAGGGAGCGTGAAATGAAAGAAATAAAAATTGCCCGGGTGAGGAGAGGAGAGGAGAGGGAAGGAAAGCTCAGAAAGAGCTTCCCTCGGGGTTTTCATCTTGAATAAGGTCCTTGAAGACCAATAGTGAAGAAAGGCAGAACTGCTGGGGAGGAAATGTTGTTGAATATGCAGACAGGACCACTCAGAGGGAGTTGGAGCTGTGCTGGTGGTTGCAGAGTCGGTTGGAAGACTGTGCACAAGTCTCAGCAATGCCCATGTGTGAAAAATGGGTGGTGCTTCTCAAGCCCTGATTCACAGTCGGGGAAAAAATGGCAAACAGACTCCTACTACTCCCCAGTCTTGTGTTTAGGAAGCAAAAAATAGACATTTTGTATGATGCTGGCGAATTCTCCTTTTTTTTTTAACCTCAGAAAATACTGTACAAGATGCTCTGGCTCCCCTCTGATGCCGTGAAGTCCATGGGCATGGTCATAAAGGAAAGGAAAGTGGAGCTGGAGGAGGTGAAATCAAACAAACAGGACTCGCCTGTGGCAATGCTACGATCAACTTCCTGGGAATGTGGGCCCAGTGGGATTGTCAGTGGGCCCCTGGTTCAAAGACAGCCCCACTGCAGTAAGTCCTGAGGCTGTGCCTCCTTAAAGCTGCCCCACAGGCTGCTGCATCCAAGTCCCTTCCGAGTGACCATCGCTGTTTTGAAGCAATAATTCGGGACTCCCGTATATGGGGGGTGGGGTGGTGGTGGTGGTGGTGGTTCTTTTTATTGCATTAGGAAACAAAACCTTTAAAGCATTAAGACAGCCCTTTGATGTCCCTGCCAAAAAGGATGTGGTTGATTCACAAGACGCGTTAACGCCGCCGGCCTCGGGCTCCCGCTCGGGTGGTGCTTTGCCTGCCTGTGTCTCTTTGCCGGGCGGAGTCGGGCCGGGGGGAGGTTCCCCCAGGTGGGCATGCACATGCATGGGCAGCTCGGGTCACAGTGGCATGGCCAGGGGCTACTCCATCCCGCTCCTCAGGATCTGGTTGGCCGCGATCAGCATCACGCTGATGATGAAGGCCATGGCGAAGGCGCAGATAAGGCTCTTCCGCACGCAGGTCTGTCTGTTCTGCTTCTGGGCGTGCACTGCGGGGGACAGGAGGGAGGACACGGTCAGACAGGGCCAGGGGTTGTGCTTCCCACCAGGAAATGCTCCTCTGGTTATCACAGAATATCTGAGCTAGGAGAGACCCCCAAGGATCATCCAGTCCAACCCTCAGCCCTGCACAGGCCCAGCCCCAAGAGTCCCCCCCTGTGCCCCAGAGGATCATCCAAACCCTCCTGCAGCTCTGGCAGCCTTGGGGCTGTGCCCACTGCCCTGGGGAGCCTGTTCAGTGCCAACCACCCTCTGGGGGAAGAACCTTTTGCTGAGATCCACCCTGAGCCTGCCCTGACACAGCTCCAGCCCTTCCCTGGGGGCTGTCCCTGGTCCCTCCAGAGCAGAGCTCAGTCCTGCCCCTCCTCTGCCCCTGCCCAGGCAGTTGGAACTGCAGGGAGGTCTCCCTCAGTCTCCTCCAGCTGAACACCAACCAGAGGTGGCTGGCTCAAGGCATCTGGTTGCCAGTGGGAGTTTCTGACACCCATGGGAGCTGGTTCCTTGCACATGGTCAGAACCTGGAGCTCCCCTGGAGAGACCCTCAAACTTCTTGGGGTGAGGTGCAACCCCCAGGCTGTCCAAAATCACTGAGAGCTCGGAAAGCAAAGGCAAATCAGGGCTAGGTCACCCTCCATCTGCTCGACACAGCAAGTGAGGAGACCTCGCCCTGGTGTCATTAAGGGCAGAGACAGAGCCATTGTCACTGGAACTCTTCCCCCAGGACACGGGATTGATGGGCCAGACCATTTCAGGCCCCCCTGGCTGATACCCAGGTGGGTTTGGGGTGCTGGGGGGAGCCCTGAGAGCCTCCTGCCCTTCCCAAAGCCCTGCTGCCAGGGACAGCTGCAGGGTGTTTACGGTGTCTCTGTCACAACCCTGCCAGAGGTGAGGGATTGTGGCTTTCTCTGCCTGGCTGGAGTTATTTTTGCTTTGAGTGGCCAGTTTTTCATTGCCAAGCCCTCAGCTGGGCAGGGAGGGGGCTCTGGCACATGGGGCTGATTGGAGTGTCAGGGCTGAGGATGAAATGCCTGTGACAGACAGCTCAGGTCACCACAACCACCCCTCAGCCTTGTTTGCCACCGGCTTCATGTGCTGAGTGTTTGGATAAAGGGAACTGCCAGACAAGTGGGGTTTGGGCTATAAATTTTTGGCAGCACAAGGTTGCTGCAAACAATTGTTCTTTTCTCGTGGCTCATAAAAACACATAATCTTTGCTGTCCTGCCCTAAGCACTAATAAAGACAGAAATAAAGGCTGAAGACATGACTGGGCCTCTGTTCTGGTGGAGTCTTTCCCCAGATTTGATGTCCTGCAAATGACTTCAGGGTTCAAAAGGAACTGAATAAAATCCTGGACTTGTCCCTGGCTATAACACAAATATGGTATTTGGGGTAAAGGGGGTGTGGGGGAGAAATATGAGGTCTATAATCCATGTCAATACAGAAAGAATGTTACATAGTCATAAATATTACAGAAAGACCTTATTATGACAATTAGACAAGGGGCAAATCCATGCAAAGAATGGCAGAAATTTGAATATATTTGTACTGATGGTTCTATTACCTCTTTAGCACCTGGCAGGGCTGTGGAGAAGGGGGATATCTGTGCCCACAGGAGGGAGGAGGGTTTGGGGCTGCTCTTTGAGGGCAAGAACACACCCAGAGGTGACAGTGAGTAGAAGTATCTGCAACGTCTCTTCGTTTCTAAGCCATTCCCAAATCCCACTAAAACCCATCTTGGTTCATCATCTTGGCCTTGTTCCTATGAAAGACACTTCAATGAGGTGGATGAAATGTCCATTAAACAGAGGTGGGAGGCTCTGTGGGTTGAGAGGAGCAGTTGAATTGCTATTTGAAAGGTTGAATTGCTTTTTAAGGTGCCATTCATCTCATCCCAAGGTGGCACCTAAAATAAACTCCAGGAATTATACCCAAAAAGCACCTCCCTTGCTCCAGAAGTGAATCAAGGGTGACTGAGCTGCACAGAGACAGCTCTCCCACGGTATCACTGACCCAGGAGACCCTCAAATCTCTGCTTTTGAGCCCTGTAGGGAGCTCAGTGCTTGGGATTTGGGAACTCTGAGAGCAGAATTGGGTCATTCAGGTAATGGCACGTCCAGCCTGGAGAGCAGCAGGGACACAAACCTGCTCCCAGCCTGCCTTTCCCGGGAGAAAAGCTCCTGTCAGAGCTGCCACGGACCAGAACTGTCCCTTCTTCTGGGACCTGAAGCAAAACTTTGCTGTGCTGTTGACAGGGTTGAGTTGATCTGTATTCCCTGCTGGATTTGTGGGTGTGTTTTTAACATCTGAAAAAGGGGCTGTTTGGCTTCCAGGTTCTGCCTGGCACCAGCAATGCCAACATCCCACGAGGAAAGCTGTTCCTGCTGTACTTTTGGAAGCTGGGGCTTCCAGGATGAGCTGCTGAGCAATCAGGTGTTTGGACCCACTTTTTTTTTTTTCCTGATGATTGGGATGGTTCACCCAAGCTCCAAAGCTGAAAGGAGCCTGAACTGGCTCGTGTCTCCAGTGAATCAGCAGGTCAGTGGGGACTGACAGCTCCATTCAATAAGCAGCATCTCTTCACACCTGCTGCTCTCCAGGAGAAACAAAAAAATTGGTGCTTGGCTCGATTCAGAGAGTGTTGCTGTTTTCCTCTCCCCTGCAGGCTTTTCAAAATTCAGCTGTGCTCTTCTCCACCCCTCCTGCAGTATTTAATGTGCTGGATAGAGCTGCTGAACCCCACTAATTAGCCAGGCTAAGAATTGCACTAATAAATTCACCTTGGCTTTGTTTGAAAGATACTTCAGTGTCTCAGCCTGGTGCCCTCTCAGAAGCTTCTCTGACCCCTCAGAGTATCAGAGTTTCCCCCCAGATGGCCCACAGAAAGTGGCACTGCTGTGGGTGGCAAAGCACAGGGGCTGTACCAGGGGGTTGTGCTCAGGTTCTCTGGGGGCATTTCCTTGGACTCTTCTGCACTTGGGAGGATTCCAGAGAATCACAGAATGGTTTGGGTTGGAAGACAACTTAAAGATAACCTTGTTCAAGCCCCTGCCACGAGCAGGGACACCTTCCACTAGCTCAGGTTGCTCCAACCTGACCTTGAACACTTCCAGGGCTGGGGCAGCCACAGCTGCTCTGGACAGCTCTAGCTGTTCCAACCAGCGATGCTTTGGAGCAGCACAAGCTCCTCTGGCCGAGAAAATCCTTCTCCTGAGATGCCTCAAACCAGGGAATGCTCTGCCAGTGTCAGCTCTGTCAAAGTGCAAACCCCACTGCAGAGGCTGAGCTGGGGAGCACTTGCTGGTCCTCTCACACTGATGACAGGAAGCAAATGTTGCCCTTTCTCTGTCCCCCTCTGAGCTCTGCTTGGACTTGACTTTGCAGACACTCTCAGTGTTGAGATGAGGTGTCCTGGGTGAACCTGCCCCACACCAGTGGTCCCAGCAGCTCAGAGCAAGAGGTGCCCAAGGCCATGAAGTCTTTCCATGACAGCCTGAGGGCAATAAGGATGTTTCTGTAGGGAAATTCAGTCTGTCTTAGACACTCACCTCAGCATGGGCTGCACATCCCTTTGGCTGAATCCCATCCCATTTTGCCATAAGGCAAAGCACTCAGTGGTTCCTCCTCCTGCCTGAGCCAGGCTCAGCTTTACTGATCCATGGAGGAGGGCTGCTGTGAGCTCTGCAGATCTCCAAGTGTGTCACTGCTTCTCCACAACAGCTCCACACTAACTCCACACCTCCTTGCTCACTGCATGTCACGGCTCAGAGTGGGTTTTACAGACAAATCAGAAAGAGGATAATTGTATTGTACAGAAACCCAGGAATTCCCCCCTCACCTTCAAACTCTGTTTGGCAGTTGCCAGAGTTCTCATTCAAGCTCTCCTCCTCGTTGATGATGATGTTCTCGATGTCCTTCATCGTCAGGTGGTCGCGGAAGGCGTGGTACAGGATGTGCTTCAGCTCCTCCAGCGTTATCCTCTGCATGTCAAACTGTGGGAACAGCACCCAGTTAGACCCAGTTAGAGACACAGCACCCAGAGCAGCAAGGGCTGGAGGGCAATGCCACAGCTCCCTCCTCGTGTTTCACCGCCCTCGTCCCAGCCCCGCGCTGGGACTTTGCAGATGTTGCTGTTTTGGGCTCCTCGGATGCTGCCAAGGGGATGTTGCTGGAGCCCCTCAGTGCTGGTAGAGGCAGCAATTCAGCATCATCCTGGCCACCCCAACAGAGACAAAGCCCTGAAGGATCTCCCTGGTAGCTCTTGCACCAAGTCACAGCCTTGTTTCTGCCCCTTGTTTTTGCTTCCTAACTCTCCAGCTGTGCCTGCGTGGTAAGAACAAGCAGGGAACGTTTCCCTCTGAGCTGACTTGTGCTGTAGATCCAGTGGGTAAATGTTCTCACACAAAGCAAATGTTAAACCCACGATTCCTGAAGAATACACAGAAAAGGACATTTTTGCAGCAGCAGAACTTTGCCCGTGTGCCTGTTTGTGGTATTAACAGGGAACAGCAGAAAGGGCTGTGTCAGGGGAAGGGATGAGAGTCCCTGAGCCCTCAGGGCAGTCAGGAAAGAAGGATGGAAATACTCCAAGTCGTGATGATCTTCCCCTGAGCTGCAGATGATCCTTCTCTGCCCTGCACCTTCAACTCTCAGGCCTCACAGCCCCAGATGGGCTCACCCTCAGCAAACAGTGAGAACCAGGGATTGTCCACTCTCACCTGAACCACCCACCTCCAAGAAACCCCATAAGGGCCAAACACCCCTGGGGTAATGATGAAGTGGAGGAAAGGTGATACCAAATGTCAGGGTGGGGTGCAGTGAGAAATTCCCACTCCTTTCCCTCAGCATGACGAGGACAGAGCAAACAGGACAGGGCAGGGCATGTAGAGATAGGACAAGGGTTTCCCACTGCCAGAGGGCAGGGATAGATGGGATATTGGGAAGGAATCCTTCCCTGGGAGGGTGGGCAGGCCCTGGCACAGGTTGCCCAGAGAAGCTGTGGCTGCCCCAGCCCTGGGAGTGTCCAAGGCCAGGTTGGAGCAACCTGGGCTAGTGGAAGGTATCCCTGCCCATGGCAGGGGGTTGGAACAAGATGAACTTTAAGGTCCCTTCCAACTCAACCCATCCTAGGATCCTCAGCACTTCTGAGCTGCTCTGGCATTGTCCTCCCTGAGCACTGCTGCACATCTCAGCACACAGATGCAAAATCGTTCATCCCCAAAGGAAAACTAAGAAAAATAAGTGCAGTTTGATTAAATCTGGACCCTGAAATGTTTAGTCACAACTGTGTGTGTACAGGCAGATGTGCACAGACCCATCCACGTTTCCCCAGCCGTCCTTGGAAGCCCCGATTCCTACAATTCTATCCCCTTCTTTCCTGCCACAACCAAAAACCTGGGGCAGAGAAGGGAGAGCAAAGTCGCTGCCTTTGGCCCAGATGGAAAGCATTTCTCTGGAAAGCAAGTCTGATGGGTTTGGTGGTTCTGCTGCTGTCCTCGTTCCTCAGGGATTCAGAGCTAAAAATAGCGAGCACACCATTGTCACCAGTGGCTCCTCCTTGGACACTTCAAAGCTGGATTGCAAATCCCCCCGGCATTTAGTCCCAAATTTCCATCCTGCTTTGCTGTGCACGAGGAAATCTCCCCATCCAGCCTCTGCCTTTAATGTTAGAAGAGCAAGTCAAGCCGAGCAGCTGCAGATTTCACAACCTGTAGATTTATAAAAGGTGTTTCTCTTGGCAAACAGAGGAGTGGGAATGGGGGTTCACTCAGGAACCACTCATGAAGCAGCATGGAAGGTGTGTTAGTGGAGGGCTGCAGAGCTGCCCCAGGGTCTGCAGCCCTCCTGGCTGCCTTCCTGCAGTGCTGATGGCTGCTAAAAGCAAGGTTTTCTCCCCCAGTCCTTGATTCCTTTGGAGTCTTTGTCCTGGGAAACTTCAACCTGAAAACTCTTCCCGAGTCCACCCACAAGGCAAACCCTTAATTTCATCCTAGTGGTCACTCCATCTGAGGAGGAGCAGCCTGTCAGACGTGGTTACCCCACTCCATCATCGTGGGCTGATGTTCAGCCTGTGCTGGAGTTTGTTCTTGGCTCAGGGCCAGTTCTCTGAGGCCAATTCAAACTCCTTTTGTTGGAGTTTATGGGTTTGGTTTTTGATGCCTTCAGGGAATCCTGGAATCACAGGATGGCCTGGGTTGGAAAGGACCTTAAAGCTCATCCAGTTCCAACCCCTGCCATGGGCAGGGACAACTTCCACCAGCCCAGGTTGCTCAGTAATGACCTGGGGGTTTTAGGTCTTCCTGCACCAGCTGATCTATCCAGCAGGAAATAATTGTCCTCTCCTTGCTGCATCTCCAGCTCTTGTTTTTGAGTTTTATGCTAATGTAAGGAGACCTTTTTTTATTGTTTTGTTGTCATTTTTGCCTTTTAGGAAGTGGAACAATCCCAGCAGGGATTCAAAATCACCCTTGTTGGCTCACGCTCTGAATTTTTGGCCTCCTGGCAGGCACGTGGTCACTGGTCCTGCTTTGTCCCATGCTCAGGACATGTCCCCCATGACATATCAGCGTGGGAGCTTGTCCAGAATAGACTCCAGCTTGGTGCAGGCAGGGACAAGACTCTGCTTGGGCTCCCCAGTAATTCCTTCTGTTTTCCCTGCTCTCCAATCTGGCAATTTCCCTGATTCACTTTTCAATTACTCCAGGTTTTATTGTTGTAATGACAGTAACCAGGGAGCAACTCTTAACTTTTATTGACTCCACTGAGAGCAAAGCCGTGACTGTTGCAAGCTGAGGACTTTCTATAGGATTTATAATTAGTGCAAATCAATGGTGCAGCTTCTGAAGCTCGGAATTCACTGTGAGCACTGAAACAGAAACCAACTGTGCCCAGTGCTGAGCCTCAAACTCCCCAAGAGCTGAATGGAAACCTGTCCTTGTACAGGGATGTTTGGATCCTATGGAGAGCACCAGGAAGTGCCCTGGATGGATCTCCAGGGCAGAAGGTTCTCCTGGAGTGGGAGGAGGTTTTCCCTGGAGACACTTTGAAATTCAGGTCTGCAAACCCAAAAGCTTCAGAGAATCAGAGAATCATTTTGGTTGGAAAAGATCACCGGGATCAACCATTGTTCTAACACCAATTCCAGCACTAAACCATGGCCCTAAGCACCACATCTGTGCATCTGAGATTCCTGCTATGGGGCAGCCCTTGATAATCTCTGAATTAGGAGATAACAGCATTGGTTTGCTCTCAGACCTACTGCACACCAGGCCACATGCTGAACACCCACAAGGCAGATGCAGATTGACTCTTCCCACGCTGCCACAACAGGGGATGTGACCCAAAAAAATTCCTTGGACTCAGCAGAGCAGCTGGATTTGTGCTGTGCTCTCACAGCCAGGGTGTCCCAGGGCAGCTCTGGGGGTGCAGATGGAGCAGGTGGGGTGGCCTCACCTCAACATTGGGGCAGTTTGGGGGACACAATGGAAGGAGAGATTGAGCCATTGGAGAGTGTCCAAAGGAGGGCAGAGAGATGGGGAAGGGCCTGGATTTGAAGGCGTGTGAGGACACTGAGGGCACTTGGTGTGTTCAGCTGGAGCAGAGGAGACTGAGGGGAGACCTCCCTGCAGTTCCAACTGCCTGGGCAGGGGCAGAGGAGGGGCAGGACTGAGCTCTGCTCTGGGGGGACCAGGGCCAGCCCCCAGGGAATGGCTGGAGCTGTGTCAGGGCAGGCTCAGGGCGGATCTCAGCAAAAGGTTCTTCCCCCAGAGGGTGGTTGGCACTGAACAGGCTCCCCAGGGCAGTGGGCACAGCCCCAAGGCTGCCAGAGCTGCAGGAGGGTTTGGATGATCCTCTGGGGCACAGGGGGAGGACTCTTGGGGCTGGGCCTGTGCAGGGCTGAGGTTTGGACTCCAGGATCCTTGGGGGTCAGGCTCAGCAGATCCTGTCACTATGGGATTCTGTGGTCCTTGAGTCTTTGAGATCTCAAACTCCTGATCTGGGACTTTTCCACTGGAGCAGTGTTTTGTGTTGGCTCTGTGTTCATCCCCAGTGAGTTGCACTGATGTACCCCCTGCTCTGCCTGGGGATGGATGAATGGCCTTTTAGCACCCATTGTGCTTCCCACGTGAGCTCAGCCATGGAAATGTTATAACAAGGGGGAAACAGTGTGTTCTGGAGGAGCCAGGCATGTGGAGGGGCAGGGAGGGAGCTGTGTTTGTAGATGGGATCTGCTGGGCTCTGGACACTGAAGGACTCTCTACTCATGCCCTACAAGGCAGTGGGTGCCATTTCAACCCACAGCAATGGGGCAGGACCCCCCTGAGGAAGCTCCTGGGTGAGCTTTTATGTGTGTGTGTGTGTGTGTTATTATATATACACTAATATGTATCTAAATAGAATATAAACATATATTTCTATATTTATATTTAGACATATAAACGTTATACCCTTCCTCAGAGCATCCAGGGAGCCCCGTGCCCCTGGCAATGAACTCCCCTGCTCAGCACGTGCTGGGTGGGCTGTGGGACACCCTCTGCCCTCTCCAGCTGTCCCCACGGAGGCAGGATGTGCCTCAGTGCCTCAGGACACCGTGCCCCACAGCCACCCTGCACCCAGATGTTGTGGCAGGTTGTTCCCCCTGCCCCGGGTCAGGGTGGCTGCCGTGCAGGTGCCAGCTGCTCCCCAGGCGTTGGGAACAGCTCCCTGCGCTGCTGGCAGCAGGAATGGAATTCCGGGCTCATTTCCATAGTAACAGGCTCGTTCCTGTGCTGGTGTCGGGAGATGGCTCCGCTCTTCCCGCTGCTTTGTCAGAGGGGAATCGTTTGCACGTGGAGGAGTTAAAATCAGATTTAAGCGCATCTCCACAGCACCCTCAGCCCCAAATGCCTCACTCTGCACTATGACATGATGTGGTATTCAAAATTAACCTGAGTGTCCCTTCAGACACCCCACAGCATCACTGGAATGCCCACTGGAATGCCCAGAGGCTCTG